TCTGGTTAGCAGTCAAGTGCCTTAGGCACTATGCTACCAGAGCTCCTATTGAACCACTAGGGCTTCTTAAAATAAGCCTTAGGGGACTGAGATGTTGGCAGGGCAGGTCCCTTCTGGAGGCTCCAAGGGCAAGTCTGTCCCTTGTCTGCTCCAGCTTTCAGATGCCGCTTGCAGCCATTGGCTTGCGGCTGCATCACTCCAATCTCTTCCTCTGCGGTCATAATGTCTTCTCCCTGACTCTGCCTCCTCCTGTGTCTCTCTTACAAGGTTCCTTGTGATTATATCAGATCTACCTGCATAATCCAGGATCGCCCCCCCCCATCTCAGTGTCCTTAACTTGATCACACTGCAAAGTCCCTTTTGTCATATAAGGTAACAAACATTCACAGGTTCCAGGCATGAGGATGTGGACAATTTTGGGAGGCCATTATTCAGTCTACCACAGGAAGCCTGAGCTTGTCTCATCTTTATGGCCTTGATCTTATTTTTTAACATGATTTTAATGATTTTTTTTTAGTGGTTGGTATATCATTTATTTTTTTATATTTAGAAACATAATTAGTGGGACTATACCCCAAACTCAAGAGCTGAGTATTTCTAGGAAATACTAATCACGAAACATCCAATGACAACATAGAAATCACTCCACTGGCTTCGCAAAGGCTTGAAGTCCTGTTTACATGTCATTTATGTGCATAAAGCATGCAGATTTCTGAAGGTGAGCACAGAAAAGAGAGAAACCTCATAGAACCAAAGAATAAAAGTTCATCTGAACTTGATTTTCAGTTGAATGAAGACTGTGAAAACTGCTTCATGACTGTGCTTTACAAATTGGTTGACTTTGGGAGTTTTAAGGAGGAAATGTCAGAATAGGAGTAACTGGCTTATGGAAGCTACTGATCATAGCAACATTGCTTTTTGATCATTTGATGTTAGCTACAAATGATGGGAAATCCAAATAACCTTGGCTTAAAGAAGATAAACAGTTGTTGGTATAGTGCTCGATGGAGTTAGGGACCCATCTTGTGGCTCTACCAGATGGCTCTCTCCTCATAGTCTAAGCTGCCCTCTTGAGTTCCA